AGAACTGAACACAATACTCCAATTGAGGCCTAATCAGCATAAAGTAGAGCGGAAGAATGACTTCTCGTGTCTTGCTCACAACACTCCTGTTAATGCATCCTAGAATCATGTTTGCTTTTTTGGCAACAGTGTCATATACTGTTGACTCATTTAGCTTGTGGGCCCCCATGATCCTTAGATCCCTTTCTGCCATTCTCCTTCCTAAACAGTCGCTTCCCATTCTGTGTGTGTGAAACTGAGTGTTCCTTCCTAAGTGGAGTACTTTGCATTTGTCCTTATTAAATTTCATCCTTTTTACCTCAGACCATTTCTCCAGTTTGTCCAGATCATTTTGAATTACGACCCTATCCTCCAAAGCAGTCGCAACACCTTCCAGCTTGGAATCATCTGCAAACTTAATAAGCGTACTCTCTATGCCAATACCTAAATCATTGATGAAGATATTGAACAGAACCCATCCCAAAACAGACCCCTGCAGAATCCCACTTGTTATGCCTTTCCAGCAGGATTGTGAAAAGTTAATAACTATGCTCTGAGAATGGTTATCCAGTCAGTTATCCACCACCTTATAGTAGCCCCATCTAAGATGTATTTACCTAGTTTATTGATAAGAATATCATGCAAGACCATATCAAATACCTTACTAAAGGCTAGGTATACCACATCCACAACTTCTCCCTTATCCACAAGACTCTTTATCCTATCAAAGAAAGCTATCAGATTGGTTTGACATGATTTGTTATTTACAAATCCATGCTGGCTGTTACCTATCACCTTATTATCTTCCAGGTGTTTGCAGAGTAAATCCTTAATTACTTGCTCCATGATCTTTCCTGGCACAGAAGTTAAACTGACTGGTCAATAGTTTCCTGGGTTGTTCTTATTTCCCTTTTTATAGATGGGTACTGTATTTGCCCTTTTCCAGTCTTCTGGAATCTCCCCCATCTTCCATGATTTTTCAAAGATGATAGCTAAAGGCTCAGATACCTCCTCTATCAGCTTTTTGAGTATTCTAGGATGCATTTCATCAGGCTCTGGTGACTTGCAGACAGCTTTTCTAAGAGATTTTTAACTTGCTCTTTTTTTATTTTATCTTCTAAACCTACCCCCTTCCTACTAACATTCACAATGTTAGGCATTCCTTCATCAGACTTCTTGGTGAAGACTGAAACAAAGAAGTCACTAAGCATCTCTACCATTTCTAAGTTTCCTATTATTATTTCTCCCTCCTCACTGAGCAATGGGTCTACCTCTTGCTTCTAATACATTTACAGAAGGTTTTCTTGTTTCCCTTTATGTCTGTAGCTAGTTTGAGCTTGTTTTGTGCTTTTGCCTTTCTAATCTTGCCCCTGCATATTGTTTGCTTAAATTCATCCTTTGTAATTTGTCCCACTTTCCACTTTTTATATGACTCCTTTTTAATTTTTAGATCATGCAAGTTCTCCTGGTTAAGCCAAGGCGGTCTTCTGCCATACTTTCTATCTTTCCTATGCAGTGGAATAGCTTGCTTTTGGGCCCTTATTAATGTCCCTTTGAAAAACTGCCAACTCCCTTCAGTTATTTTTCCCCCTTAGTCTTGTTTCCCATGGGACCTTACCTACCAGCCCTCTAAACTTACCAAAATCTGCCTTCCTGAAATCCATTGTCTCTATTTTGCTGTTCTCCCTTCTACCATTCCTTCGAATCATGAACTCTAGGATTTCATCATCACTTTCACCCAAGCTGCCTTCCGCTTTCAAATTCTCAATCAGCTCCTCCCTATTTATTAAAATCAAATCTGGAACAGCTTCCCCCAAATAGCTTTTTCAACCTTCTGAAGTAAAAAGTTCTCTTCAATGCAGCCCAAGAACTTATTGGATAGTCTGTGCCACGCTGTGTTAGTTTCCCAACATATGTCTGAATAGCTGAAGTCCCCCATCACCACCAAATCCTGAACTTTGGATGATTTTGTTAATTGTTTAAAAAAAAGACTCACGCACTTCTTCCACCTGGGTAGGCAGCCTGTAGTAGACCCCTAGCATGACATAAGCCTTGTTTTTTTAGCCCTTTTAGCCTAACCCAGAGACTCTCAACACATCTGTCTCCTACACCCATCTCCACCTCAGTGTAAGTGTGTACATAAGACAACACCTCCTCCCTTTTTTCCCCTGCCTGTCCTTTCTGAGTAAGCTGTACGCTTCTATACCAGTATTCCAATCTTGTGTATTATCCCACTAAGTCTCTGTGATATCAACAATATCACAGTTGTGTTTATTAGCACATCAAGTTCTTCTTGCTTATTACCCATACTTTTTGCATTTGTACATAGGCATCTAAGAAACTGATTTTATCATGCCTCGCAGTTCTGCCTTGTCCCTCTTCTTTCTCTACTATTATAGCCCGCATTCCCTGCCATTTCCAACCCATCTCCCAAGTCTCCATGCTCTTCATTTACACCACTGCCAATCTGATAGACCTATGTAACTTTGTTCTCACCCACAATTATTTCTAGTTTGAGAACAACTTATACCTCCGTATCAGCAGCACAGCCATGGGTACACACATGGCCCCACAGTATGCTAATATCTTTATGGCTGGCCTAGAAAAATGTTCCCTCAACTCCCGTCCCCTTTTACCCCTTCTCTACTTATGCTACATCGATGACATCTTTATGATCTGGATGCATGGCCAAGAAACACTGGAGATATTCCACAGAGATTTCAACAACTTACACCCCACCATCAACCTCAGCCTGGACCATTCTACACGAGAGATCCATTTCCCATCCAGCTTCCAGCTCCCATCCAGAACACACCATACGATCCATCATCTATAGCCAAGCCCTTCGATACAACCACATGTGCTCTAATCCCACTGACAGGGACCAGAAACTTCAAGATCTCTACCAAGCATTTATAAACCTCAACTACCCACCCGGAGAAATAAAAAAGCAAATTGAAAGAGCCAGACAAATACCTAGAAACCATCTACTTCAAGACAGACCCAAGAAAACCAACAATAGAACACCATTTGTCATCTCCTACAGCCCCCAACTTAAACCTGTCCAACACATTATCAATAAACTCCAGCCTATACTGGAACAGGATACCATACTCAAAGAGGCTCTGGGAGACAGACCCATAGTCTCCTATAGACAACCACCTAACCTCAAGATGATTCTTAACCACAGGACATACCACACGAATACCAACCCTGGTACCTTCCCTTGCAACAAACCCCATTGCCAGCTTTGTCCACATATTCACTCTGCTGATACCATTATTGGATCTAACCAAGTGAGTTATAAGATCAAGAACACACATTCCTGCACATCCAGAAATATAATTTATGCTATCATGTGCCGAAAGTGTCCGTCTGCTATGTACATTGGACAAACGTCTCAGACACTTCGCCAAAGGATCAATGCCCATAAAACAGATATTAGACAGGATCACAAAGAAAAAACAGTTTCTTGCCATTTCAACCAGAAAGGACATTGTCTCAACGACTTGATTACCTGCATCCTGCTTCAAAGGCATTTTAAGACTACACTTGAAAGAGAATCCTCTGAACTGTCATTCATGCTTAAATTCCACACTTTACACTCAAATTTGAATAAAGACACTAATTATCTTACCCATTACAAAGATAGCTTGCCCAATTATCACCTCTAATATCATTAGCTCACAGACATTTACCCCCCCCCGCCACCGTCCCCCTTCTGTTCTGAAATTTGATTTGTCCTTTTCATATGTGTTCATTTTTTTAATTGTATCCTTTGGTATATATGGTTGTGACAATTTTCTTCTACTATTTGAACTGAGGAAGTGGGTCTGGCCCACGAAAGCTCATCACCTAATAAGCCATCTTGTTAGTCTTTAAAGTGCTACATAGTCCTGTTTTTTTGCTTCATTTACCTGTGGGCTTCATTTACCTGTGTGCCACAGGACTCCTCGTCGCTTCTGTGGGCTTTGGTCACCTGTCCCTGTCAAACCTAGTTTAAAGCCCTCCTTACTAGGTTAGCCAGTCTGTATCCAAATACGGTCTTCCCCTTCCTCGAAAGGTGAACCCCATCCCTGCTTAGCAGTCCTTCCTGGAATAGCATCCTGTGGTCGAGAAAGCCAAAACCCTCCTGGCAACACCATCTTCGCAGCCAGGCATTCACCTCCAGGATGCACCTGTCTCTGCCTGGGCCCCTACCTTTGACAGGAAGGACTGGAGAGAATACCACCTGTGCTCCAAACTCCTTCATCCATACTCCCAGAGTCCTGTAGTCATTCTTGATCCGCTCAGTGTCACACCCTGCAGTATCATTAGGGCCCACACGGATGAGTAGCATGGGGTAGTAGTCAGAGGGCCGGATACTCTTCAACAATGCCTCCATAACGTCTCAGATACAGGCCACCAGCAGGCAGCATACCTCCCAAGATGACGTCAGGGTGACAGATGGGCGTCTCCGTCCCCCTCAGAAGAGAGTCTCTGACCACCACTATCCTACATTTCCTCCTTGCAGTGGAGATGAGAGGGAAGGGCAAGTGGCCTTTATCCCTGCCTCTCCCACACAGCCCTTCTGCACAAGCTCCAACCAACCAGGGTGAGAGCCAAAGCTCTCTTTAAAAAGGTGGGGGCACTTAGCTTGCACTTCCTTTGATACATTCCTCCATCTCCTATGGGAGGTCTGCCCCATAGTTTGAGAACTGCTGGTCTAGCATCAATGATCGACAAAAGAACTGGTGTAAATGGACACAGGCACCTTACCACCATGATATATTGCACTTTCCCACTGTTAGACCAATGCTATAGATCCTCAAGACATCACAGATATTGCTAGACTCATGCTTAACAGGATAAACAAGGCCTTACGTAAGAGTAAACAGATCCAAAGTAGATTTTCTCTCAATGTATTGATGTACACTACGAACATATGTAAATTTGCTCTAATCACAGAAATGCAGTACATTGTACCTAGGATGGCAAGATACTTAAGAATTAAAACAAAACTATTGAAGTTTTACATTTACCTTTTTAAGTTTTTGATACCTTTCTTCTGGTGTGTCAAAGCCATTGGTTAATGTGCTAACAGATGGCCCATCACTGATTCCTAAAATACAGAAAATATTACATAAAAAGAAAGCTATTTAAAGACACTAGGTTAGGAGCAGCGAAGGACAATTGTTTAAATTTCTGCCACAATGAAACTTACATAATACTACATATACATAAGTTATCATACATGAAAAAGATCTTCCATTATAGAGGAAGGTCCCTCTACAAACAAAAGCCAATTAAACAATGGCATTCTGATGAGTTTAGAAAAAAAATGTGTTGGTAGCAAAGCCATATTTCAGGAAAAGCTATAAATGTATCTTTCACCAGTTACATAAATAATCCTGATTGCATGTCATATGGTACCAATAATACCAGGTTGACAGGCCCCAAGTTGGAGCTTGAATCAATGAAGTGACAAACCAACAGTAGTGTGAAGAGTACTGTCAAATGAATGTTGGCCTTTCTTATGCACTACATACCCCAAATGTAGTTTTAACATTTGATCTAATTGTTATTTTAAATATTTCAGTTCCCTGTTCAGGCATCTTGGAAAACAGAAAATTCTCAAGACAGCGATTGCATCTACCACTCTCAATAACTGCAAGGAGAAACCCATAAGCAAAGTGGCTACGGAATCATTACAGCAGAGGACAGTTAAATAATGTGTTCATAATCCACATTCACCAGGGGTGCCCAAACAATTTTTATAGGGGGGATGCGGAGAGCCCTTGAACCAAATTGTAAACTGTACATAAGACAAACCACTTCAAACCAGAGAGTGCACTATCTATGACGTTCACAAATAATCTTAACAGTACCTGAAAATTCGCCATCAATAGCCAAAAAGTCTGCTTCCTCGATGGCTTCATACACTTTATTTAGGTTATCTTTAAAATCTATAAAGCAATAAAAAACAAACCCCCTGAGAACCGGGCGGTTTCCAGTACGGGAACTGCCAGCCCGCTCCGTTTGCGGAGAGTGCACTATCTATGACGTTCACAAATAATCTTAACAGTACCTGAAAATTCGCCATCAATAGCCAAAAAGTCTGCTTCCTCGATGGCTTCATACACTTTATTTAGGTTATCTTTAAAATCTATAAAGCAATAAAAAACAAACCCCCTGAGAACCGGGCGGTTTCCAGTACGGGAACTGCCAGCCCGCTCCGTTTGCGTGCGGGAC